TGGAGATGTGAGCTTTGGATGTTGAAATGTCTTGCCTGAAGATAGATGCTCATTATTTTTATAGTTGGGACTGAAAGGTACAATCTTATTCTCTGTCTCCCATTACAGAGAGACAAACATGTTGAAGAATGAGCTCAGTTACACCTTAGCTCAGGGACTGGTATATTTTTTTTAAGGATCTGATGCCTTCTCACAGAGTCACCAGGGAAAAGAGTGGAAAGTGCGGAGGAGAAACCTCTTCCTCTTCGTGTGAGGAAACTGATTAAGAAATCTTGTGATGAGCGCCAGTCCTCTGACATGCAGCCTCTTGTCTCCACTGCAGGGCTTCAGACCTGGTCAGACTACCAGAGCCTGAATCATGCCAGTTAATCCTGTGAAGCTGTTGGCCCTCGGTGAGTCCTGGGAGAAATGGAGGGATGAGGAAGGTGATTTGAAGAAGGGAGTTTATTCCCTACTCAGGCCTGAAAACAGCCAGCAGATTCTGAATCCCCCTGGGAAGAGTTTTTTCACCCCATCCCCTATTTGTAAGATACTTCTGTGGACTTATTGATAGGAATAGAAATGGGGCTTGTGTGTATCTTCAGCTTTGAAAGGAATTAAGAAGAGCCTGTTTAGGAGAGAAGATGACTGGGAGCCAGTTGTTTTTCTGGGTTTTGGAAGTTGAACTCAGGGTCTAATGCATCCTAGGTAAGCATGCTACCACAGAATTGTATCTTCATCTCAGTCCTTTTTATTTTTCAAGTTAACAGGTGTTATGCATTAATGAGTACCCTTGTTGAGAAATTCTTTTCTTTTCAAAATACATCCTGGGCATCATTTTACTTTTGGATTTGAGACATGGTCTCAGAAAGATGCTTGGGCTAACTTTGAACTTTATAGCTCAAGTAATACTTAAATGTGTGGACCAGCTGGCTAGCTGGGATTTTGAGTCTATGTCTCCACCTCTTGCCTGAGGTATTACTTAGGCTTGTTTCAGAGTGAAAAGGAGAGTTATACTTTGGCATTGATATGGAGAAAGAAAGGCTGGGTAACCATGGTAGGCTGAATGTTCCCACCTATATCTAGTCCTTCCTATATTCCCATCTCTAAGCAACCCATGTGGTGAGTGTCTTTCTCACTGAGCTTTCTATTTCAGTGCTGTGCCTGGGATGGACAGTTATGACTCAAGAAGGTGAGTCATGTCTTTGGTTGTTACTGAACCAATGGCCAGGTTTGAAGAGGATCACGTGTACCCAGGAGGCCTGGAGGAAGAACTATGAGCATTTCCTATAATCATAAACATCCTCAGATAAGCAACCTTCATCCCTCTTCCTTTTCTGCCTGTTTTCTTTGATTTCTTATTTAAAACACCATGCTTTGTCGTGCATTTACACCATAGTATGATTAAATTAGGCCGAGTTCCATGTCCATCACCTCTGACATTCATTATGTTTTAGGTGTGACAATGTTATCTGTCTACCATTTTTGGAAAATTTAAATAGGCAATCTGTTACTCTCATGCACAGTAGAACTCAATAAATGTATTTTTCCCATCAAAATGGAATTTCATATCTTTATCCAGCATCTTCTCTGTCTCCATTTACCCTTCCCTTAGCCTCTGATAACCATTCTACTCTCAATGTTTTTCATCTCTGAGATGAATGTCTTTGCATTCTATACGTAAGTGAGATCCTGTGTTTTTGTCATTCTGTGACTGGCTTGCTTCACATAACTTCCTCTGGATACATTCTGGTTGCCACCAACAGCAGCAG